CCAGTTATTCATTCTTTCATACAGCAGTCATTCAGAGGTTAAAGACATTCCAAACCTCTCCTCTGGGATTTACCAGATTGGGTGACTTACAGCCAGACCAGACCAAACTAGACCATGGAGCCACCTCAGTCAGTATCCTAATCTTATGGAGGGGCCCCAGGAACACCTTTGTCAAGGACTACTGTTCCTCACCAGAAAGAAAAGGATCCTTACCAGACCAGTTGAGCTCCAGAAAATTTGGAGGGTAATTCATCTCTGCAGTCCCTTCAGTGTTGGCAGTGAGACTATAAGGCTCTGGAATTCTCAGGGGGTGCCTCCCCTATAGTTTGCTGCCACAGATGGGAGGGATCACAGTGAGATCAGTCTGCTCAGTGTGGCTATCTCGTGGGGGCCTCCAGTTGTTATGGACAAGCAAGTTTTGAACAGTAGAGATGTACCACACTCTGTGCCAGATTTGAGCCCATTTATTATAGCCAACAGCCAAGGAAAGGCTAGTACCTAGAAGTTTCCTCAGCAATGGGAAGCAGTTTGATTTCTCCTTTTAAATCATGCTTTCAGCTGGGGAGAGCAAGCAGAGTCTCACAGAAGCAGAATGATGCCAGGTTAGTGGGGGGGCACAAGGAAGTTTCATACACACTAGGTGGGCTACAAAACATTTTGCAACCACAGCGAGTTTAGTGCCAAGGATGTGGGGGTTTGGGGTGCTTTGTTCAAGTGCAAGCACTTTGTTCAAGCACAGGTACAAAATGGCATTGAGGCACAAGATGGAGTTGGGCTATCACAAATATAATTGTTTAATCATGTTCACGTGAGAAGCTTTTATTTGCAAAAGGACCAGAATCATCAAGTCTCCCTAACTGTATAAGTGGAAAAATAGAGAAAAACAGAATTTATGTAGACAAATTTGCTTTGAAAGGGCTAAGAACTCTGTGTATAGCCTATAGATAGTTTAGACTTAAAGAGTATGAAGACACAGATGCCTTTTTGAAGCCAGGACTGCCTAGCAGCAATGGGAAGAGAAATTGGCTGAAGTCTTCCAGTTCATACAGAAGACCTGATATTACTTGGAGCTACAGCAAAAGACAAACTACAAGGTAAACGTTCGAGAAACTATTGAAGAATTGAAAATAGGTGGTATCAAAGTATGGGTACTTGCTGGAGATAAACATGAAACCACTGTTAGTGTGATTTTATCATGTGGACCTTTTCATAGAACTATGAACATCCTTGAACTTATTAGCCAGAAATCAGACAACAAATGTGCTGAACAGTTGAAGCAGCTTGCCAGAATTACACAGGATCATGATTCAGTAAGAGCTGGTAGTGGATGGGACCAGCCTACCTCTTGCCCTCGGGGAGCATGCACTATTTATGGAAGTTTGCAGAAATTGTTCAGCTGTATTATGCTGTCATATGGCACCACTGCAGAAAGCAAAAGTATGTATATATTATAAAAATTTCAATACAGATATTTAGATCTAAAAGTATTTGCTAAAGGTTAATGCCTTAGACAGTTTCATTTGGTGGTATGCAATATATGACTTTTGCTCTAGGAATCAGTCAGTTCCTATATATGAATTTTATTTTATTTTATCTTTGTGGCACTGGAAATTGAACTCAGGACCTTGTGCTTGCCAGGCAGGCATGGTGCCAGAGCCACACCCCTGGCTGCTGTACTATAAATTTTAGCCATGTACCTGAGACTTAGAGAGTTCTCAGAGTAAATATTCAAGTTTCAAATATTCATGATCACCTAGAAAGTCTGTGGTACTGCTGAAACAATTTGAATTGTAGTAACTAACATTACCCAAATTAATTACTTAAGCAAAGGACTCAGAAATGTGAATTCTTCTGCACCTTAAGGTGGTTCATTGATCACTGCTTATTTTTACAACTTCTTGAATTAGTAATTCTTTGTTAAAAAGTGGCTATCAAGTGAAAGTAGACAGTTGAAAGCCAGATAATTTGTAAAGTTGTACACAGAAATACTTAAATTTCCGCTGCCTAAGTGAAAGTATATACACATTATTTTGTAATTTCACATTTGGAATTTGAGGTCTTAGAATATATCCTTTACAAATATCCTATGCAATGAACATCTAAATACCACTGATTGTTTCACATATACATACATATATATATATATATGATGAATTCTTCATCCAGTTTTGTTGGTTTCGTGGAATTTTGTCATAGTGCCTTTACTATAATTACTGTATCCTACTTTACGGAGACTAAAACTAGAGGCTGAACAAAACTAATGCTTAAGCACTTAATAAAAGTACATTCAAGAATTCCACAGAAACTTGTTTTAATATTGGTTGCTTTTTTAAAAAACTTCAGATTGTGTTTATTACAAAGGAATACAAAAGGTCTTTCCTCTACATCAAATAAAAAGTACAATTTTTTTGAGGAAAACAAACAACAAAAATACAAAATAAACCTAACGCTAAGCTGAGCACAGTACTGTTTACAAATAAGCACTTAACAGCAGAGGTCTGTATGACTATGCTAACAGTTTATATAAAACATTAGTGCTGGGCGTGGTGGCGCATGCCTATAATCCCAGCACTCAAGAGGCTGAGGCAGGATAGTTGAGAATTCAAGGCCAGCCAGAACTACAAAGCGAGACCCTGCCTCAAAATTCTGTCCCCCAAAAGTTACTGAGATGTGAGATGTGTATGTTAATTAGGTAACTGCTCCTCTATACATACTTCAAAACATCTCATTACACAGGATAAATACAATTTTGTGTCAATATTAAAAAAGGTAGTAACTGAAGCATTATATTTGGCTATAAATTATATCTGGAGGAAATAGCATGAATTGGATAAACTCTATTTTGAAAACTTGCCATTTGGGCCTGGATATATCTCAGGAGCAGAGTTCTTGCCTAGTATATATGAAAACTGTCAGCTCTATCCCCAGCACTGTACAGAAAGAAAAAAATAAAGGCAACTGAAAAATGGTTTAGACCACAAAAGTTTCAGGGGCTTGCTGTGTTAGCAATGTTTGTATTTTTACTATTTGCATTTAGGTTTAGCAAGAAACACACAGCATACAAATGTGAAGGAAGATGGAGCAAGCTATTTCTTTCTTAGTGGACCCCACTCACATCTGGCCAGGACTCAAAGAAGCTGAAGCCAGGCCAGGCTATATTCAGAGCCTTTCTTTCCCTCGGTATCCAGCAGAAACAGTCCAGGAGTCTCTCAGGAAACTGGTATCTGGCCAAAAGCCTAAGAGCAGTAGCTCTCTTTAACTGAGCAGGAGTAGACTAAAAGGAAAATGATGGAAACCCTTTGGGATTCTGTAAAGCAGGAATTAAGCACCAACACTCAAAGCATAAAATTAGCATCATTACTTTTATAGCTACTTAGATGGATATTAAGCACAGATAGATGCTTGCCTTCTTTCAAAATAAGAGAAATGTCAGGGAAAATTACACTGATCAACTTTTTTTTTTAACCTAACAAATGGAAAAAAAATAGAAAGGCTAAGACATTGTGTGGTTGGTAGGCTGCAAGCAAATCCTCCCGTAGGTTTAATTCTACAAGAGCACATCACTGCATGATACCTGTTTCAGGTCTAGGATTTGGGCTTACCCTACTTTCCAGCTAGTAAGTTATATGGCTTCTCTTTTACCTAGAAACTAAGACAACAGACTTCTGGATCTAAGACAAAGGACTTTATTTCTCACAGCACAGCAGGCAGCATGAGCATCTGCATCTTTGCATCAGTTCCTCTCACTTCCAAGTCCCATGGGATGGATCTTGCTGAGAGCTATAGCAAGCAGTGACCAAACCTGCTTTATCCTGAGAAAAATATAACCTCATCTCCCAAAGTTGCTCACAGCAAAGAACTCTGGGAAATGGCTCCACTGAGGAGTCAGCCTTGGCATTTGGGGCACATCCAGCAAAATGTGCAGGAGAAAAAAAGAAAAAGAAAAAAAAATGTGCGGGAGGGCTTAAGGGAGGCACCCTAATATCCACACAGGGAGATCTGGCAGTAATAATCACAAATGCAGTCAACCCATACTGATACACACCCAAATCCCAGCACTCTGGGAGGCTGAGGCAGGAGGCTCAAGTTAAGAGTGAAGCCTGGCAATTTAGCAACTTAGCAAGACTGTCTCAAAATAAAAAAACCATACGCACACACACACCCTTAAGAACATCATTAACTTAGAAATTCCACATCCTGGAATCTGCACTGCAGATTTATTTTCACATATATAAACTATGGTAACAAGGTCATTTATTCTAACACTATAATAGAAAATGATCAGAAACAACTATCAGATTAGTTTGATTATACTTTCTCAATGGAATACTGTATGGTAAAAATAAAGAATGAAGAAGAGGTCTGGAGATGTAGCTCAATAGCAGAGTACTTGCCTGGCATGTAGGTTTCCATCCCTAGCCCAACAAACACAAAAAAGTTTCCATATTGATATAGTTGCCAGGGGCAGGAATTTAGCTCAGTGGTTCCACCACCTGCCTCTTAAGCGCAAGGACTGCAGTTTGATTCCTAGTACCAAAAAAAAAAAAAAAAAAAAAAAAAAAAAAA